TGGTTTGCCTCAGTTAGTTTAACATACACGCATTTTTTAAAACAGACTAATTTAAGGATTTTTAAGAATAATTGTGCTACGATTGCCCTGGTCGTTATAAAGCTGAATTATGATGAGAATTCCATACTGATGCCTGTCATAAAAATTATCATTTTATCTCTTTTTTTTTTGTCGAGGTGGCTTTTTGAAAATCACTAAGATAAAAAATAATGATAACAAATTACAACAAATACAAATGAACATGACAATAAAAAAGAATAAAACTTTTTAAAAATATGACAAACGTGCAGCCATGAACTATGGGGATAGAATATGATAGAATTTGTAACGCACGGTTACCTTCATCCTGTAAACAGCTTCCCAAGGTAAAGAGAAACGCCATCAAACTGAAACCTAACATTGCATACAATACGTTGCACGCCATATGAAGTGATATCAAAACTGTTAAGTCCTTCTGTGATATGCGAGTGTCTCCAGTTATTTATTAATGTATACAAAACAGTGTAATTCATGATCAGTTTTATTGTACTTTTTAAACTCAGGCGCCAGAATACCTGTATCATTTGGCACTGGTTTGAATTTTCATACAAAATGTGATCAATGCTAATCATTCATTTTTCCTATCTGCACATACAAAAAAACAACGCCAACAACACCTTTTGGACAAAGCCTTGTTAAAGAGAAAATATGGGATAATTTAGGAGAAAAAAACAACACCAACTCTGTATATTGTAAGCTTTTTTAAAAAATAAATTGGCACTTGAAAATCCTTCGGCTTAACTGAAAACTTGTTCAGCAGGTTATGTCGTCGTATTTAGGAACGCTCAAAAAAATTTTACAGTGGAATCTCTATTCAGGGGACAGCCTCGGGACCAAGGCAAGTGTCTGTTAAGCCGCAAAGAGTGCCAATTGACGAAAATGTAACATTGACGAGAAACGTAACATTAACCCGAAATGTAACAACTTTTTGACGCAAAATGAAACAATATTTTGAACGCGAAATATAAGGAAAATGTTGCAGCCTGGAAATAATTGAGAGACTTGGATATAAACGTTGTTGGTAAAGTGTACATTGTCTAGTGGTTACAAAAACAGTTTATTTATAAAGTTTTTTACAATATCAAAAATTAAAAGTTACAAAAAGTAGTCTTGAGCAGGTGATAGAGTTACAAGTCATCTATAACTTTGGAAAAGTAGTATCATAGGCGGCGGATCAGGGGGCAGAAGGGGGGGGGGCGCGTAGCTCCCACCCCTAACAAAACTTTGGGGGGACAGACCCCCAAACGTTTTGGTGCCTAAAAAGACTTTTACTGATGTAATTGACCATCAGTGACTTCAGAGCGCACATTTTCGGCCCTCAGACGGCTCAAGAACAACTGCCCACTGATGCATTGTCACAAATCGATTACGGACACAGTAGACACTGTGAAGATTGCAAAAACATTTGCTTGTGCCAACGAATAACGCAAAGGACATTTTGGAAAATTTGAGTAGGGGTTTGCGTATGGCTGAGTCAAAGATGAGCCTCCCACGTTTCAAAACGCTCCGCCGCCTCTGAGTATGGACAATAACAACAACTCTAACGTATTAAACAAGACGTATGGAAAATATCCTTTTAAAGCTAAGCTAAAGAATATGACTACAAATGTGAACAAAGGAATACTTGTAATATCACACCGTAGAAAACAACACCAGCCAGCAATTAAAAATAGAAGGAAAAGTTAAGAAAGGTGATAGATATGAAATTTCTCATTTCTTACCGGACTTCCAGTAAATGTGAGAAACTTTATACCAACCCAGTCCTGCTGCCTGAAAACTTAACCATGCCAACACCCATTTAACACTGTTGGTTATCTCACGCATACTCCAAAGAAATTACAACTAGCTTTTTATTATTGGCCATACCACTTTTCCGAGGCCATGTGACTTGTACCGCACATGCCTATTTCAGGATTTAGTTACTATTATCGAAGAACATTTTCCAAGTTTATTTGATATATTTTTGTTTTTTTCTTTATCCAAGTCTCTCAGTCATTTCATAGCTGTAACGTCTTGCTTGTTACCTTTCGCGTTAAAAATATTGTTTCATTTTGCACAAAAAGTCGTTACATTTCGCGTCAAAAAATTGTTACATCTTGCGGCGTAACAAGTGTCCCCTGAATGGAGGTTTAGCTGGGATTTGCTCCCAGTAAAGAGGGGGGTGAATAGGTGAACGGATCGGCAGATTTTGAAAATATTTTTGCCCGGATTTCGGATTCAAAGCGAGATTTTAACGGATTTCAGGATCCTGCAACTGCAGCGGAGTGCGGACTCATCTATTTTTTGGGCCCGGATTTTGGACGTTGCGAGTGATACAAACATTTTTGCCCGGATTTCGGATTCAGGGCGAAAATTTAACGGCGGATTTGCATACCCCTATTCACCCCCCTCAGTAAATTAACTAATAAATATTTTTCTTTTACTCTGCATCGGAATCTGCTATAAGTAATCATAATTAACTTATCTCTGATATGGTGCGTGTTGAATTCCCACAAGTGCAGTACATCGATTTAAGTGAGACAGTTCATGTTTTGAAATGGTTCGCCATTGTAACTTGTGAACTCTTAAACTTATCAACGACTGAATTGAGGTTTCCATCGAATAGAGGTCTGACATCAACTGAAAGATAAAATAAACGCGGGGTTTTTCCGATAGACATATCAAAAGGCTTCGGCAAATAATTGATCTGCTCGTCACTGACAAATCTCGATATATTGCTCGACCTCGTCCAATAATTGTTTTATCATTCGATCACAAAGTTTGTTTTCAATGAATATCTTCGGGGAGCGAAGCGATCTGCCATTATTCACGCAAGAGCGATCGCAAGAAGGAGAAAAGAGGTTTTGTTTACGCATGAGCAGAATATTATTTGCTGCCAGACAGTTAAAGCCAAACAGCAGCCAAACACGACTGAACGACATTGCGCATGAGCAGACCATTATTTGTAGGTAGTTATTTGCAGGTCACAATGTGGGCTTTCGGCCGATGAAAAGGAAGAACAATTTGCATCGAATGATAATTCATCATATTGACAGTGAACGTTGATTCATGAGAGTTAAATGATACAAAATCTTTATTATACAATTTTATTATATCGTAGGCCACAAGCTTAAAAACACTTGGTTTCTGCTCGATTTGATGGCTCCGAGCTATAATTGCCCTATTCAAACCGGGCTTAACCCTTATATAAACTTAGAACGGCCATCAAACTAACACAGAATAATGCACTTATCAACTCCCACCACTGAAGTTTTAAACAGATGTATGATGGATTACTTCATCTTTTCAAAGTGCTATTTATTCTTTTGGTTGAAACCTTTGGATTAATTTTTTTATGTCTGGCGCTGCATGGCACGAAGGCATTATAATGATCCTAAAGCTTGGTGTCTGTCAGAGCCGACTTTTTTTGCCTTATAGAATTATGTTTCACCGCAACTAAAACACTGATAACACAATTTAGGCTTTTTCCGGCGGACTAAATATCCCCCAGGTGCCCATTTTAATACTTCTGAAAAGAAGTATTTGGCCATGCATATTGTACAGCCTGTGTAGCCTGGGTGGACGGGGTATTTAAATGACGATCGTCATGTCTAGTTTGTAATTGGGTAGTCAGTTTCTGACTATAGACTGACGGGTCTTGGCTGAGTACTTCTGCGGACAGTCCCATTTTTTTCTGGAAATAAGTGAATTTTAGTGTAATGGTTAATGGTTTTTATTAGTAGGCGGCCTTCAGAAAAAATAGTTCCATTCAACTTTTTTAGAAGTGGTCCCGTTGAGTTTAATATATGCAGTTAATCCGTTCAAACTATGTAATTTACAGTAGCACATATGAGACGTGAATTATTTAACGGTCTTTCCCTGTTTTAATTTAAAAAATTAATTTGGTGCCTTTAATACTATAATTGTCTTAAAAACAAGGGTGAATTTTCTGTAGATACAGTTTCCGTGCAATTTTCACTGTTAATATGTAACAGAATGAATTGGCAAAACTTCGTGTATTTGATATTTTCCGTCAATAAACTCTTCTGGATGGAAATCATTCAAGGAACTGGTACGTTACATCAGGTTTAAAATTTCTGCTCTTAAACATATTTTCCTTTCTTTATCATGTACAAGGTCATCCCTTTTCGTTAGTGGAATCCCATTAAAATTTTAAACAGGTTGACTGTACTGCGTAAAATGTTACCTTTCTTGACATCTTTGCGAGTTTCTACATGCGTGACGCCGATAGAACTTGTAATAGAGCGGGTTTGAAGCCGTAGACAGCTATTAGTACTGATCATGAAGATGATTCACAAGGTGTTATGATAGATTATAACCTAACTTTCTCATATGTTAGCGATAACCCTACCTAAGATACTCCAAGGTAGTCTTGAATTCTGGATACGCTGTTAGTGGAACTTGGATTTCGGATTCCAGTTGTTGGTAAGGTTCTGGGTTCCTTGAGCAGCCGCGTTTCAGATTCCAAAACCTAGGAGGCACTTTAATCCACGAGCGAAAATTTCCCAGACTACCTCAGATGGGGAGATAGAGACATGTTAATTGAAAGGTTGGGTGCCTCAAATATTCCGTTCTAACCTCGCTGATTTACTACTTTTTTTGCTTATCTCTCTTCCTTTCTGTCTCTCTTTGTTTCTTTATTTTTTTCGTCCTTTTTTTCTCTTGGCAATTTGGACTAGGGTACATTGTAATTGACCTCTCTCGCTATTTTCTCATAATTTTATCTCGCTAAACAGATGGCTGTCGAGCGTTGAGGTTCAACCCCTCATTAGATGGCAAGTTTCTGGATGGCGATGTCATCGAAAGCAGCCAGGAAATAATGACGAAAGATGACTGCGAGCTTGAATGCTTTATGAACCCTGACTGTGTGTCGTACAATTTTGGCACCAACCTAACTGCGGGTGAAAAAAGGGGAACGGTGTGCGAACTGAGCAACTCAACTGCCGATATACACCCTGGCGATGTTAAAAATAGAACTGGATTCAGTTATACACCAGCTGAGGTAAGATTGCTCTCGACTCGTAGCTCTCAGTACGCTCTATTGTGTTCTATAGTAAAACCAAAAAAAAAACGAATTTTGGTTGAGAGATAAACATGAAGCTGCATCAGCAACTGCCTTGCCAAAGTGGTCAAGCACGTTGAACAGCCTTGCACCGCCTATAGTGAGTCACAAAACAGGGGACACCCTCAGAACGGGGGCAAGTGTCCCTTGAATAGAAGTTGGGCTGCGGGGTTTGTTAATAATGAACCGACAAAGAAAACATACAGAAATCATCATTAACTCATATCCTTACGACATTATACGTTGAATTCCGGTAAGCACCTTTCATCGATTTAAGTGAGATAGTTAAGTTTGTGAAAGCTTCCACATTTCTGATTAGTGCACACCTGAAGATATTAACCCTCTTTGTGATCAGACACACTTTGTCTGAGAGCTAAAGTGTCCCCTGAATGGAGGTTAAACTCAGGTTTTCGGACCCAGAAAAAGTTTCTCTTTCCCCTGAATAGAGGTGTCCCTTCAACAGAGGTAACAAATACAAAGATTATTATGTGAACATTTTTCCGGGACCAAATTTTGTGCCCCCTGAATGGAGTTGTCTCTTGAATAGAGTTGTCCCAAACGTGAGGTTTCACTGTATTGCGATTTTGAGATTCAAAAGTCAAAAGAGAAATCCTCGATCTCTTGCTTTTATTATTTTGAATTTATAATGCGTGCCTTAATAACCTCTAACTGGCCTTAAGTGTGTTAATTGTCGTATAATGATGGACTATTTTGTCTCTGCCTTTTTAACAGAACACTTGTGTGGACAATAACTGCTCGCCGAATAGCCGCTGTCAAACTGGATTCACTGATCGCGGATACAGATGCGTGTGTGATACAGGCATCATCACAGGAGAATTCTGCGAAACAGGTTATCATATTAAGGCTGAAGATTAGGCTCATGTAATTCTTTTTTCGTCAGTATAGTAGGGTTACGAAGAATGGTGAAGCCGAAATTAGCTTAACTTACAAACTTGACGTAAATTGGCCAAACGTTATCTCGCCACATCGATGCATGGATCAGGTGGATCGCTAAAACGTTATCTGCGACTTAAAAAAATGCGTAATAGACAAGACAAAAAAATCAGAAAAGATTCTGCTACCGTTACCCCTTGACAAAATATTTGGTATCCTTTTTTTTCTTGACATGTTTTCTTAAATCATTTTGACAATTTTGATGGTTCCATTTAATGCAGAGCTGGTCAAAATCCAAGGTGTTTGTAGCTGAAGTTGCGCGACCGCAAAACAGTACCAAGGTCGCCAGAGGTCTTCACCAGAAGCGAGAAGCGTAAAGGGAAAATAACACCTCTGGCATCCAGGGTAGCAAAACAGTGGAAATGAAAAAAAATTATTACTGATCGCATGAATTGCAATGCTGGTTTTTTTTTTAGAAATTAGACTGGGTGAAAGAGCCAACTGGCAAATCGTGTAAGGACATCTTAGAGAGTGGGGCTGCTACAGACGACGGAGAGTACTGGATCGACCCCGAGAAAGACGGAAGCCCTTTGAAAGTGTATTGTGACATGACCACTGACAGAGGTGAGTAACTTGCGTTATCATTTCTCTCTCTTTTACGCCAAAGACTCTCTCGCGATCCGTAGATAGACCAACTCTGGTGCGTCTAATTATTATAAAAACTCTCTGCAATCAGCATGTGTGGAAGCTTGTGACGGTGTACTCTGTGTCCATCGACAGATGTCCACCATACAGCTTCCCTGTGGCCTACCACGCCCTCTATTTCCAGAAACTCATCCGATCCATGCATGATGATGTACATGTTTGCCTGGCCGTCATGTCTAAACTCATACGGATGTCTTGTGACATGACCAAAGAATTTCAGTTTTCGCTCTTGCACTATTTGAATGGGGGATTTCTGTGTTAAATTTTCCACTGGCTCTTTTAGCGACTCGTTTGTCGGTCTGTCTATATCCAAAAAATGTCCCTGATTTGTTATATTATTTACTCATTTGTTATTTTGTGTTCAGGAGGCTGGCTTCTTGTTACCAACATTCTGGGTATGTATGAGACTGGAAGCATCCAGCAATCCTGGACCCCTGCAAGTTCATACGACGAGATCAATAATTACAATTACAGTCAAAATGTGGGTATCACTGCCAGCGCTTTGGGTTGGCTGAGGTCGCACTTGAACTTCACTCAACTGAGATTCCACTGCAGCAAGCAACATGGGCGTACCTTCCACGTCATCACGGCCACCAACGACAATGGTGAAGCTGCAGTCCAGTACTTCAGCGGTCAGACTGACACACTTCCAGGTTCCTGCGACTCGTTTCAGAGGATGAACGACGATACCTCCGTGTTGGCTGTAGATTGTGCTATGTGGGGAAATGATGGCAGACAATACGTCGGAAAATGGGGACACCATGACAAAAAGGACGCTTCAGTTCGATTGTACGATCATGCGGCATTTATAGCTTCCAGTTATCACTGGCATATTGTTGGGGACTATTGGCTCTGTGACGATGCGATCAATCTCTTTACAAAATCTGCGAGAGATTTCTGGAAAATATTTGTACGCTGAAGGACAGAGATAACACCAAATGCACTCCTTCGCACTCTGAAGGGTGATGTAATGCAGGTGTATGACAATTGAGATGCCTTTATGAGTAGGCCGAGATCAACGCCAACTTTGGATCACTTTAGTTTTGGTTTGAACGCATAGGAGACGGCCTCCACCACAGGCATTACTGTCCTGTTTTAGAGAACGGGTGAGAGAATGGGGAAGAGAACGTGAAGTGACAGTGACAGTAGTGACAGGTAAACTCCTCCTCTTTCTTTTTTCCTTTTCTCGTTCTCAGACTACTCAAGGTCAGTTTAACCCTTACAAAAGGAGTTGCCCGCGGAGGAGGCCAGGAGTGATCCATTTTGGGGAGATGTCGTTCTATAGTTAGTAGAAAGGCTAGCGGACTGGTTATGAAAGGCGGCAAATAACACAAGATGATGGGCACAATACTTCGTTCTCATTTCACAAATTGTGAATGAATAATTTGATGCGACTTCCTTATTGGTCAGTACTGATCAAAAATAATGATAGGAATGCTATTGAACGTTGTGCACCGTCAGGTCCACAAAAAAATTTTTAACAAAGGAGTCGAACGGGCCTCACGACTATTCCTCTCTATTACTAGAAATACGTGTATCTCAGAACCTCCCGAAGCTCGGTGGGGGGGGCATAAAATGTCAGGGATGGAAGGGGGAGAGAATTGGAGTAAATGTACATGTGTAATATAGTGAAAGAAAATGGGTGTGAGAGTGAATAACTGCCGGCGAATTTGAGGCAAACACATGCTATCTTTACTGCGTAATATGTGATATTTGTCCTATTTGACCCCTATTTTTTCCTTTTTCCCCCACTACGGAGCCTGGTTCCAGGCTATGTCATTAAGGATGCAGTTGAGGAGAACTATGAAAGTGATCATGACTCATGATAACTGAATATGCAGTACCCTCATTAGCACTGAATTATCACAGTAAAAAATACCAAATCATTTATGAAAGTGTTTATATAGTTATATTTGTGTACATGCGTGAGAAACAAATACTCATTCTTGGGGGAATGCTTGTTCTAATGTTTGAGCCGCATCGGTTAACAAATAGATTTCCCATATATAGGATAATGCCGGAGCTCCGATGCATTCTTAAAAATGATGACCGAACGCCTATACTTTTTAAGCGGGAAGTGTGTTGTGGCCGGCGAAAGGATAAAGCTCTCGAGTTGGTGAAAACACAAAACTATCAAAAAGCACAACGGAACGTTCACTTTGAATTTTAAATATGGTTTAATGTTACACTCTGTAAGAATTCGTAAGTCTCTAATCAACGTAAATAATCGTGAATATGTATTTCTCATACTCATTAATAATTCATAATGAAAATACAAAGGAAATTAATGTTTGATGATTGTTCGGAAATCAGATGAAAAACTGCTCATTTTTGCATTCTTAATTTCTCCTGCTAAAACAATTTTGTGTGAAAAGTGTTTCATCACCAGATGAAGCACCTCGAAGTTCGTCAAAAAAAAACCCGCTGTGAGTCGTATTTTTAACTCTCTTCTCAGTGTTTCATCTGGTCATAAAACACAGCGTCTCATGCTTTATATATTACTTATAAAACAACGAGAAAGCTCTCCTAATATATGTTAAAAGAGGAGAGAAATTTTTAGCTGGGTTAGCACTAATCAACACTAGATTTGTAATACTTGGCCGTTAAAAACTGACCAATATATTTGTTTATGTGAAAATGTAAAAACAGATAAAATTGCATAATCATTAGTCAGACGTTTAGCATACACACCTCTTGTAAATGGAGTCATAAGTCAAAAAAAGTCAAGTAAGAAAATTTAGAGCGATCGGGGCGCCATCTTGAATTTTTTTTACTTTGTTCAATTATAACGGTGTACCCATATAAATCGTTAAGAAGAAAACTTATTTTAAAAGTAAGGATAAAAAAATCTGCTAAGGTTCCATTTTGTCGTTTATTTGAAACTGAAGATCTTCGGTTTGTAATACAAATAATAATGGTAATAATATACAGATTTATAAATTACCCGAACGTAAACTTAACTCTTACCCCTAATACAGAAGAATAAATGCTTACATAAATGAAAACAAAACAACAGCAACTGGGCTCTCCTAACTTAGTTAACAGGGATAAAAAAATTAAAACATGGGCAACGCTTGCTAGAGAAGGGCGACAGCTCGGTGCTCGAAGCAAGACCATGGAGTCGACCCCGATGTTGCTTGCTATTAAAAAATAATAATAACAAAAAATCTTTCGAAGTTTTCTCAAGCAATCAGCTCAGCAAACTATAGCTTACTCCCAATGTATAGGTTTTCATAGCTCAGTAAGTAGACTGAGCACTACAGCGCTAAAGCAAGTAGGCCATGGATTCGAATTTCTTAATTTGCAGTTACTTAAATCGCGATTACAACTACGACAGTCGTATAACTTTACTTGGATTTTTATTTCCACAATTCACATCAACTTCATTCTAAATTTTTCTAAAACATGCGGCGTTTAATCGAATAAATACGGTATAGCTAATGAGGAACTCTTCCCATCTCCGTTCCCTTGCCGACACGCGTTACGCGAAGACGACTGGGGACATGAGTCCGGGAGGAACACTGTAATTTCCCTTAAGCTTCTTAAAGACGGAAACCGCTATCTGTTGTGAGCGTCAAAAACTGAAGCGTTTGCTGAAAATATCGTTTAGTCTTTCGAACTGATTCAAAGACAGTGTGAAAATTTCCCCTCAGTAAGCCTCAGCGAACATAGATTTTGAAGAAATCTCCTGCGGACATTTCATAGAATGTACCATCTGCATAGTCATCGCAATGTATCAGTCCATCCACTTTAGCCCCGACATATCGGCTTCGGTAATCGAACGCCACGTAGCGGTGCGTTCTTTTCTTAGTCGGAGCCAAAAACCCACTCCACTTTCCGACGAAGGGGATTCCGTCAATTTTTCCCCACTTTTCACATTTCACGGCCAGATTAGAATTATCATCGCTCATCCTTTTAAACGAATTGCATGAAAATGGGTGGACATCTGTTTCAGCACTGAAAAAGCGGACGACAGCTTCTCCACGGGTGCTGTTAGGGGCGGTGATGACGTGGAAGGCATTGCCTTGTTTTTTGCTGCAGTGGAATCTCAGTTGGGTGAATTTCAAGTATGCTCGTAGTCCCTTCATAGCATCTCCAGTTATGGCCATTCTTTGATTGCTGTAATTACTGATCCCGCGGTATGATGTTTCAGCGGTCCAGGAATCATTGTCACCAAGCACTCCATCAGCTACGATGTTAACCACAAGAAGCCAACCTCCTACAGCAAGAAAAAAAGTAAAAAACGACGTGTTGCTCACGAGGTTAGAAATTATGTATGGGCAAATTTTATTACCCAACAACTGATAATAGTTTCGGGAGAAGTAACTGCTTAATGTCCAAGAAAGCTCACTGCGCCACAGGCGTCCCAAGCTCTCGTTACGAGGGTGGAATGTAATTTCTGTTGACGCGGCGAGCGAGTCGGTATCGCGTTACAAGACATTTTTTCATTTAAAATTAATGGTATTTATCTATATTATGTGTCTTAAGCTGTCCTCTCAAAAGGCGGCCTGAATAGGCCAATCCTTTGGCGCCACACCTTTATTCATTCATTCATTCTTTCTTTCTTTCTTTCTTTCTTTCTTTCTTTTTTATCTAGGTAATAGGTTAACTTTGTTACTTTGCTCACATACCATCAAACGTTCTTGAGCTTTCTGGGTTTGGCATTGTATTTGTATTTGGCATGTGTAGGCTTTTCTAAGCCTTTACTTTTTGTGAATACTGCAAAATGCATGGAGTCAGGACATAGAGCGCATTTATAATTTGTTTACCTCCATCAGTTGTCATGTCACAGTAGACTTTTAAAGGGTCTCCATTTTTCTGAGGGTCGATCCAGTACTCCCCGTCACCTGTAGTAGCTCCCCTCTCCATGATATCTTTGCATGAATTACCAGGGTTTGTCGAGACTTTCCCCAGAACCCCTAAAACCGAAATTTGCGTGAGAGTAAATGTTATTTAATTGTAACATTTCCTGAGGCCTTTTGTAGCCAGTAAGAGCATATTTTAGCGAAAATTCAGGATAGTTAACATTCAGGGGTACAAATTATTTTAAAGCATGAAATGCCCGACACTTTTTAGTGCAATCTATAACCAAACTAGAGAGGGCACAAAAATGTTTGACACTTGATAAGGATTTTCTATATACTTAGTAACAAATTGTTGTGCATTTGTATGGAGTTTTCATGTTGTAAAAGCTGCTTTGCAGCTAACCAAGATTTAATTTTCCAACTCATTCGTTGTGAGGTCATAAGGGGAGGATGGCAGTTATTGCTCAAGGTGGCCCGAACCTGTTTTTCGTTACCCAAGCTGGAAAGAAAATCTATTCAAGTTTGCGAAGTCCATCAGGACTATCTCCACGTATTCAAAGCAATCTTAGTGATCTTAGTTCTGATATAGTAACATTATATTGCATTTATATATTGTGGTTTTATGATAAATTAATTCTCTATATTAAAAACCACATTTCGACAAAAAATGTAAATACCTCTGAAATCCTTTGACAGATGTTTCCCTCTAACTTCAGGAAATAAGCCTCAGATCTCTCTAGTTTTGTATGCAAGTTTGAAGTAAGTCGTTACCGCATACATAACATCTGTCGTAGGGTTTCAAAGTTATTTACATTTTTTTTTAGCAAAAATGAGTTTTACGCTGGTATCTTCAACGTTTTCAAACCTACAAGAAAATCGCCGGCGATTTCCACCATTTTTCATTATGGGGGCCAAAAATCGTAGAGATCAGTTTAATTTCTCTGTGAAAAACGAGATTCAAAACATAATAAAAATATCTAGTATATATAACCTTCAGTACAATATTCCCCTGTATATCCAGCAGAACACACGCATCTGTATCCACGGTCAGTAAATCCTGTTTGGCAGCGGCTATTCGAAGAGCACTGATTGTTAACACAGAAGTTCTGCATTT